CAAGTAGCCATGGGCCTAAGTGGAGAGGAGTGAGAGAATAGGGAATGGCAGGAAATGAGATTAGAGAGAGATTTGGAAAGGTATTAAGAGGACAAGGAGGCTATTACAGGGCTTGGGTTGTATTTAGAGTAAGGTGGGAGACACTGTTAGGTATAGAGGAGAGACATGTGGTCTGATTTATACTGTGAAAAAACTGGCACTGGCTTCTATGTGCACAAGAACCTACCATAGATGAGAGTAGAGGCAGGGAGACCAATAATGAGACTATTGCAATAATTTGTCAAGAAATTGTGTCTCAGGCTAGGTGGTGGCAATAGACATGGTCATGGGGAGAAACTATAAGCCCTGGATATATGGCCTTCTCTGACCAACCTACTACCTCCCCAATATCATCCCTTTTCCTTGAATTCTTTTATTTGTGATTCCTACAGCCATATATGTATATATATATATATATATTTTTTTTTTTAAATTACCTGTCCTACCTAACCTCTACCTACATCAATTCCCACCAGATGTAAGCTCCATAAGAGCATGGATCTAATCAATATGTTCACTGCTATATTCCAGGGTTTAAAATATTCCTGGCACATAGTGGTAGATAATTGTTTAATGAATCCTATCTGCTCAAAAACAATCATTTAATGCCATATGACCTCTTTCATCTTTTTCTGGTTGAACATAATGCATGTAGACTCTTTTAAATAAAAATATTCAACCATAATCTTAATGTTGTTTTATATTTATCTTTTCATTATGTTTCAACTTCATCTTTCCTGCATTATCATTTATGTGGCTAAAATATTTCAGTTTTATGTAACAAAATAATTTAAATATCTCATTGAATATTTATTTACATTATTAAAAATTTTTGGTGAAAATCCTTATAGATTTTAAGATATATATATATATATATATATATATATAAATTTCTTAGAATAAGTATCCAAAAGTAAGTTTCTTTCTCAAATTGCTCTGTTTTATCATATTCCTATCAGCAGCATGAGAGTAATTCTTTTATTATCTTCACTATTAC